ACTTACGTCAGACCCGCAGTTACGAACGGGGCCCGTCTCCCTGGTCTCTAGCAGACCAGGGAGAGGAAGCAAAGCAGCGGAGCACGCGGGCAGTGGACAGCCCAGACGTGTCTGGGCTGTCCGCTGCCCGCGTGTTCTGCCGCTTTGCTTTCTCTCCCTGGTCTGCTGGAGACCAGGGAGAGGGCCCCGTTCGTAACTGCGGATCCGATGTAAGTCGGATCCGCGTAACTCGGGGACTGCCTGTACTGCATACAGATGTGGTTGCCTCATCACAAAAAAGATACCTGGGCATTAGAGAAGTTTCAGAAAAGAGCAACAAAAATGAATAGGGGTTTGGAATGGGTTCCATATGAAGAGAGATTAAAAACTCAGATTTTTAACCTTAGAAAAGACCAGAATTGGGGGGGTGAGAATGATAGAAACATTGTTCCCTTAAAGATATGTGTCTGCACATGCATCAAGAATTTACCTCCTACCCACCTCCTTAGCAGAGCCACACAGTGGCTGCTCAGCTGTTCATATTACTTTTACAAAAAAATCCCAAACAGGGCAGGGGGAAAAACTGGTTGAGCCAAAAAAAAAAAAAGAATTGCTGTGCCTTTCTGTCCCTGCTGGCTGCCTGTACGAGAGACACGCACAATACCAGATACTTTGTCTGCTGTTTTCTGGGTTTTTTTACTAGACGGGCCGGGTGAAAACTGGACATCTGGTAACCCTAGCTGCCTAGGGGTAGGGCCACAGGGAAGATGGTGGGGCTATCAAGAAGGCTGGGGTTTTATAAAGCCTGTGAGTAAGCAACCAGGGCTGGTAGCAGGTGGGGCTGGGCAGGGGGCTAGTAGCAGTTGTAGTAAGATGAAGGTCTAAAACAAAAGCCCACATGGCACAGGCCTGGCCTGAGGCCTAGCTAACAATGGACCAAGCGTGACTAACACAAAGCAAAGCTAGGCTGGGTGAGAGAGGCAGGCCCCTGCTCTCAGAACTTGGCACGAGCAGGGCTGAGTGTGCAAAATACTCATTGGTAATAGGCCCAGGTGCAGAACTGTAATTGGTACTGGCAGGGGTGGCCTGAGACAGGCAGCTGGCACCCCAAGTGGAAGGTGGGACTGGTGCCCCTGCCTGCATGGTCCTCAATGGCGTGACATCATCATTGGGTGCCCTAGTGAAGGCGACCGCTGAGTTGGCCTATACGCAAGGGCCGCCCCTGAGTACTGGGCATAAGCTGAAAGCATGTGGTACCACCAGCTCATTACAAGACACCTTGAGGGACACAGGCCCCATGGATACCAACCCAGGTTTAGGGAAGGGTCTAAACTGATAGCATGATGGACAGAGCTGATCTAATCAAACCACGAGGTGCAGGGTGAGGTATGGTATCTAAGTAGCATCTCGGTGGCTGGCCACGTGACACTTCAGCAGTGATGTGTAACTTGTACTTGTGGTGGCTTAGGAGTTTCCCACTGGTTGTGCTGAGGCCATTGTTGGTACATGTGGGTAGTGGGGCAGTAGAGTCTATTGACAACTATTAAAATAATAATAAATATGGAGCTATTCCTATCCTAGAGCTGGAAGGGGCCTTGAGAAGTCATTGAGTCCAGTCCCCTGCCCCCATGACAGGACCAAGTATCATCCCTGACACATTTGCCCCAGATCCCTAAATGGCCCCTCAAGGCTTGAGCTCTCAACCCTGGGTTTAGCAGGCCAATGCTCAAACCACTGAGCTCTCCTTCCCTCCCCTTATTAATGCAGTTTGTAAACCGTGAACCTGGCTGGATGCCTTCGCTCCTTATCTGCTTTGTGGTCTGCAGTGGTCACTGGACCCATCTCATCGAGCACGTGCATGAGGGGTTACTGGGACGGGGGG